GAGAGAGAGAGAGAGAGAGAGAGAGAGAGAGAGAGAGAGACCTAATTTTTGTTGTGAAGAAAAAAATGGGATTTTCGGTTCAGGTGGGAAGAAGAAAGAGGGACGAGAAAAAAGGGAATTTGTGAGGGAGCAGTTGCCTTAGACGTGGGAGTGTAGGCAATAAAAATTGTATTTATCCCTATCAGAGAAGTTCAGAACAAGACTGCTAAAACCTCATCCGAAAGAGCAAAAAGGGGGAAAACACTGATATCTCTCAAACCGTAAGGAATTTGGCGAAACAGACGCGGCAACCCCCTTTGGAGGTTTGATTGGCTCAGTCTCGTCGAGATAGTCGATTTTCATATATAATTCGTCAAATTCCGACTTACGGTTTGAAAGTTATGACCTATTCTTCAAAGCATGTTCAGTAGCTCGCCTAAAGGCTAAAGCTCGCCTGTAAAGGCTGAAGCTCGCCTGCAAGGAAGTCCGTCTGCAAGGATAGAGCTAGCCTAACAGCATTGAAGCTTGCCTGAATGAGATTTTCCTACACAGCTCGCCTACACAGCTTCGCCTGCACAGCCTCGCCTGCACATTGAACCAAGTTCGCCTGTAAAGGCTGAAGCTCGCCTGCAAGGAAGTCCGTCTGCAAGGATATAGCTCGCCTAATAGCATTGAAGCTCTCCTGAATCATATTCGCCTTCACAGCTCGCCTGCACAGCTTCGCCTGCATAGCCTCGCCTGCACATTGAACCAAGCTCGCCTGAAGGCTTGAAGCTCGCTTGAAGACTGAAACTCACCTGCTTGACCCAGGCTCGTCTGAAGGCCTAGCTCGCCCGATAGCTCGAAGCTCTCCTGTTTGGCCGACTCGCCAGCACGAAGGTTCGAGCTCGCCTGAAGGCCAAGCTCGCCTGACAGCCTGCACCTCGCCTGCGCGGTCTAAGCTCGCCTAACAACTAGAAACCCGCCAGCATTGTTAGCTGCCCACTTGGAGTATGGTAACAGTCACGTCAGTGGTTAAATCCCACAAATCAAGGGAGAAAGCATGGCGCTCCTCACCTAGTAAGAATAGGGCGGCTGACAGGACCCCCTAAGTGGTCACATCCCACAGCTAGGGCGGCTGGCTCCCTCACCCCTACTAGTGGTCAAATCCCACAAATCAAGGGGTGACTCATGCCATCCCTTGCCTATTTAAAGCCACTTTTAGCCAACGTGAAAGAGGTTGATTAGTTGATGCTTGCTTGGCTGGCTAATCTTCCAAAGGTTGAACCTTGGCTCATTTGCTAAAGGCTCCCTCATTTGAAAAGACTTGTCTGAACTCTCAGACTTGAGGCTCTTAGGCTCTTTGCAAGTTCTTGCATGGTAGATCTCTCCAAGCAGTTAGCCGACAAGCACAAGCTCCCGTTTGGCCTCAGGTATAGTCGAACTCGATCAGCACGAGCTTCTACTGCGTACTGAAGCTCGCGTGTAACTTCGTTCGAATCGTCCAAGGGAAGCAAACTCGGTGCGAGAACTGAGCGAGGCGTCCTATCGCTGCCAAAGTCCTCACGTTAAACAAGGAGGGCCTTCCCTCCGCTTCTGTTATAATTTCGATTCATTAGTTTGTAATAAGCTATTCTTATAAATACAAACAAAATCCCTGTTTCGGGAGATCAAAATTTACACCTACAGAAGATGGCGACCATAGTGGGAGAAACCGTTCATTCAGATGAATTGGTGGTGGCGCAGTTCGACGAAGTTGCGGAAGGGACTATCGTCGAGTCCCTCTTCATCGAGTTCGATCAAACGAAGTACGAAGAATACTTGTCTTCGACTTCCTCTTGTGGCAAAACGTCACGCAAACACCAAAAGGTTGTGCATGTAAGTCAGCCCAAGCAAATCGAGAGCCTTACCCGAGTAATCGCTGGGGGTGCCATTCCCCCCAATGCGATTGATGCCAAGGACGAATGCCAAGTTCCCAATTCTGGTGAACTACGTCAATCAGGTGAGCCCACTTACTCAGGCGGGCTTCACTCTATTGGCAGATTGCCTAAATCTGGCGAATTTAACAATTCAGGCAAAGTTCCCAATTGTGGCGAACTTCGCAAATCTGGCCAACTCAGCAGTTCAGACGGGCTTCATCAAGCTCGTCTGACAGCCCAAACTCGCCTGCAAGATCAAACATGCGGACTTCATCAAGCTCGCCTGATAGCCCAAACTCGCCCGCAAGTTCAAACAGGCAGACTTCACCAAGCTCGCTTGACGGCCCAAGTTCGCCATATGGCTGAACTTTGCCAACAGACCCGAGCTCGCCTAACGGC